TTCTCAATGTTTGTATTATCCAATACAGTTTTGTATTCCTCAGCCATTACCTGGCAACAACACAGTTACAACACTATAAAATGCCCATGTGAATCTGATGTAGTAGTTCTACTCTTCGAGGATCAAGTTGCAGCACGATAATAGAGAATATCTGACTTCATAGTAGGACTCGATTCATGCAGCTCAGCGTCATTTAGGGTTCATCGTTTTTTTGTGGTCTCTAACCTTTTCCAGTATCGACTATATGATGTGTGTCATATGACAGTTTCCATTATCTAAAGGTCTCTGCATGGCTGAAAGGTGCCTCGAAAGTGTGTCAGCAAATTCAAGCAGTTTTCAAAGACATACTTTGCCTGTGCATTGACGTTTGCTATTCTCATTAACAAAAAGCCATTGCAACAGTATCCTTTCAAGTGTGGAAACAATGGCTTGTGGTCTATTTGGGTAATGAAATGTACAGGCTAAAGTTATTTTGGAAGCGCTCTATATGCCTAAACCACAGCCAAGCACTCCTTTTTGATCTGTGCATGCCTTATTTTGGTACCTTTTATGGTGGCAGCCTCCCTAGCTTGTCCATCGTGGTCCTATAGGAGAATCCCTTCCCAGCTTATTGCACGGAAGACTTATTTATTATCACAAAGGCTAGTACGGGTGCATCAGTTAAGAAAAAGGACCTTTTAAATCCTAGACCTTTGCCAGACATGCGTCACTGCCTGGTTGTGTGATTTCTGCTAAGTCATGCAACTAGTGACCCAGATCATGTACCACACCCTGAACAGCTCTGCGGTCTGTGGTAGCTAAATGTTTCTCATGCCGCTATCTTTTGTGGCATCAGACCTGACACAGAAAAAGATGCGCATGCACATTCACACCAGTATTGTACTTTCACATCACGAGCATCCACGTGTTTGTCGTCAGAGGGTTAACGCAAGCCGTCGGTGTACTTTCATGGGTGTTGTGACCACAAGGTTGTCCACAGAAAAACGGCACTACATAGGTTAACAGAAGTCACCCAGGAATTCATGGTGTAAAAATCTGGAAGAATGGAAAGTCTTGTGAATTTGTGTGCTGATGACTTGCTTGTCTGAACCAACAGTGTTTGTCCCCTATCTCCTGGAATGTATCAAATCATTTAGCGTGCTGTTGGGAAATTCAGCTGTAGTAAAAGGGAATTTATGCCACTCATAGATGATTTGGGGGTACATTTCTGTTTTTTCTGCTGTTCACGTTCCTTGTTCTTAAAACTCCCTGTAAACCCAAACTCTTGATGACTCTTTCTTATCTTATCCATTTTTCCACCAGTGTCATTTATTTAAAAAAACAAAACAAAAAAACAACTGGATTAATAGTTTGCATTTTCATCGGTCATATTTTTATCACTACCTCCAAATCAGACATTTTGGATGGGGCTCTGTTCCCAAATTCATGCTTTTTTTAATAAGTCATGCTTTTTTATGACCTCTTCTCAATGCCACAAACTCCAAACATCCAAACATTTAGCTTCCAGTTTTTGCTATGGCAGTTAGCACAACCATGTTAGTGAAGCCTTCAACATCATGGGGTAATTGTGGCTCAAGAATTGGGAGTTCGCCTTGTAATCGGAAGGTTGCCAGTTCGAGCCCCGGCTTGGACAGTCTCGGTCCTTCAACTGAAGGCCCGGTGGCACCTGTGTTTGGCAGCCTCACCTCTGTCAGTGTGCCCCAGGGTAGCTGTGGCTACAATGTCAATTCCAGGTTGATTGAATTTAAAGTCTTGCATAAGCTCCACTATGCCAAGACTTAACAAAACATTTGGCACTGTCTCCCCCATGTGTGACAAATGTGGTATTGCAAAAGTGTCAGTGTCACACATGTTGTGGTCCTGTCCAGATATATTTGGCTTACCCAAACAGTATGGTGTGTTCATTAACCTGGACTGTAATCTGGAGATATTTGGCTACTATGATGGGACAAGAGCACTCCCATTTAATCAAAGACAACCTCTGAGGGAAGGCATCATTGCTGCTAAAAATATTCATTTTTTCTGACTTCATTATTTATCTCCTTTTTGTATTAAAAAAAAATAGAGAATGGGCATAGAGATCCGGTCACTTTATGACAAACCACAGTTCTGCTAATTTGAATTGCAGAACTAGACGTTTCATTGTTGTTTATGGTGCCTTTTTGGAAAGAGATTTTTGACATCACTTTGTTTCTTTTGCTGCACTTTTTGGCTGTGACTAAAAAAGTGACTAAAACTCTTATTGTGTATTATCAGGCACGCGTACGTGTCCTTGGGAGCAGCTTGCCCGAATGGAATTATTCAACTCCCTCCTTCAGAGGTCTCTGCACCTGCTGGAGAGCAGCGCAGCCTGGAGTTCAGACTGGGAACCACTTGTTGTCCCAAACCTTACCTCCTCTATGCCGTGGCACGTTATAACCATCAAGTATAAGTTGAACACGTCTATTTCTTACAGTGTACATTTGTCTTTTATTACATTTTTCATGTCAAGCAGTTTCTGTTTCACCATTGTCTATTTGTATTATGTTGTGAGCCAGTATGCTGTTTAATTAAACCTTTGTACATTACATAAATTATTATACTGTATACAAATATAAGATTCTGACATTAAACTACACACTTTTTAATGATTCATTGTTGAGTGATAATCCATGTGCCCTAACTGTGAAGCAGTTTGAAAGACCCTCTGTGGGTTTAAATGTGCTGAACAAATAAACATGGCCTGACTGAAAATGTGTGTGTGAGTAATTTATATTCATCTTTCACTGAATCCAGTTTTGATTGACTTAATCCTTCTTATTTAGTCTGATTTCTTTTAAGTTCACACTGCTATCAGTCTGAGGTGTCCTTGGCATTTCACAATGTTTGTATTGCCCAATACAGTTTTGTGTTCCTCAGCCATTTCCTGACAACAACAGTCACAGCACTGTACAATGCCCATGTATGTTGTGTTCATTAACCCTGACTATGATGGGGCAAAAGCACTCCCATTTAATCAAAAACAACCTCCATGGGAAGGCATCATCACTGCAAAAAAATAAATTTTACTGACTTCATTATTTATCTCCTTGGTCGAGTTTTTGTATTTAAAAAATAAGGATAATGGGCATATAAATCCGGTCACTGTGTGACAAACCACAATTCTGCTAATTTGAGTCACAGAACTAGATGTTTCACTGAACTTACGGGAGAAAAACAAACCAAAACCTTGATTCTAACACCTAGGAGTGTAATCGGGGCTTTATCTGGACTTTGGGCTGGGTTATATAATATTCTGTCCCTGTAGCTGAATGCACTTTGTTTCCAGTGGGTCAAAGTGAAAACACTGAGTTACTTTTGCATAACAGAGTAAAGCTATGGAGACACTATACAGCGTGCTCGGCCTGGAGTGGATTGACGGCAGGAGCATTTTACTATTTGTGTGTGTTTTCCTGCTTCTGACTGATTTTTTGAAGAACAGAGTACCAAAAAACTTTCCTCCTGGACCGTGGGCTCTTGCTTTCATTGGTGATCTTTGGCGTATCCAACCTGCCAGGCTTCACTTGCAGTTCGCAGAGGTATAGAAATATCTTTATTGCTGTGTAGTCAAAAATAAAGGGTCAGAAGCGTAAACAACACTCAGAGATATCGCACTGCACTTTTTGCATATTGATTTAAGCAAATCAGTAAATGTGAGTTGTTTTTTTTTGTTTTTTTGAAAGTCCTAAACATGTCAGGTAAATAGTAAATTATTAACTTAAATGCAAGATAACCAAACTGAACTCTATTCCAGATTCCCCTTTGTTCTCTTTACTGGAGGTCGGGGTGGGGTGGGGGGGACAATATTGATACATGCTATTAATTTTATATTGTTGATTAAGTAATTTGTCCTCCAGATTTTAAAAAAGGGTAACTGAAAAATCCAACCAGCATTAGAAATGATACTTTTAAATAGATTTCAGCAGCTGATAAGAAACAGTTAAACTTGGGGGTTAAAACTGAAATGGGCAATCACATGACAGTGACTTCTTAAAAAATATGTCCACTCAGTGGTCAACCACAATGTCAATGCCTACTACCTGTGTTCAGTTTGCAGAGAAGTATGGAAACGTTTTCAACCTGCGACTATTTGGTGGAAGAATTGTGGTCGTGAATGGCTACAAGTATGTGAAGGAGGCCTTGGTACAAAAAGGAGAAGACTTAATTGATCGTCCTGTCATACCCATATTTGAACTAGTAGGAAACAGAGGTGGAGTTGGTTGTATTTTCATATTTGAAGTTGAACAACATCAGACTCCATTTACACCATTTTGGAGTTAATGTTTTTGTATGTTCCTAAAAGGTCTTGTGATGTCAAATGGTTATCCATGGAAGCAACAGAGGAGATTTGCTCTTCACACTCTCAGAAACTTTGGTCTGGGCAAGAAGACCCTGGACTTATCCATCCAGCAGGAGTGCCAGTATCTCACAGAGGCTTTTGCAGATAAGCAAAGCACAAAAAAATTAACTCACACTACCTCCAACTTTGAAGACACAAGCATGCACCAACAGCTACATACATTGTGTACTTAGGTATCATGACACCTGTTGCATGCGATTCATGTAACATGCGTTGTCCAGTGACTCATCATATTTGATGTTTTGTTTGTGATGTTTTGGGCCCCAATTTTCTTTATTATTATGACATGTTGCAAGGGTTCCTCAGTCTTTTTTCTGTATTTTACAGGCAAGCCGTTTAATACACAGTCACTGATAAACAACGCTGTGTCCAACATCATCTGCTGTTTGGTGTTTGGGAAACAATTCGACTACACTGACAAGGAGTTTCAGTTTATTCTCCAGAAATTCAACAAGATTATGCATTTACAGGGAAGTTTGTCAGTACAGGTGAGAATACATCCAATAATTTTATTCATAACTGGATTTTCTTCTGTAACTAAAATGTGTTTAATTTGAAACATTGCCGAAGAAATTTTATTGAAAACGAATACAGTAATGTTAGACTACTAAAACTAAAAGGTGCGTATTCAAACTACAAGTCATGTAAATGTACACAAATATTATTGTGTGAAACCTATTTTATGAATCAAAGGTAAAAGTACCGATCTGGCACTAAAATTGTCCGTGTTGCTGATATTGTTCAAATTAACCAGTCGTATTTTTGCTGCAATTGTAGGATCCATAGTGTAAATGTTTACACAGTCACCAAACAAGCAAAAGATTCTTTTATGTTTGAAACATAAATCCCATTGAAGTTGCATAAATAAGGACATTCGACTTAAAAATCAGCTAAATCAGTCACCAAGTAGCCAACAGTAACTTTATTTCCAATCCAAAAATTTCTGTATGACATGAAACTGTTGTTTCTAGTTAAGGGGAAGTTCTAACTACTTTATGTTTAGTTAGATTAAGCAATTGAATTCAGCTCTATTTACAACACTAAATCAACAGTCGCCTCCTGGTGCTTTATGTTGTGAGGTAAAGACCCCTACAATAATACAGAGAAAACCCCAACAGTCAGATGATCCCCTATGAGCAAGCACTTGGTAACAGTGGGAAGGAAAAACTCCCTCTTTACAGAAACAAATCTCTGAAAGAACCAGGCGCAGGGAGGGGCCACCAACTGTTTACATTGCCTTACTCTAAACCTGCTCACCCACCCCTGTTGCTTGTCATGTGTTTTCATGGATTTACGATGTGAAGATTCATGTGCTTCTGTGCTGAGGAGTTTTTGTTTTCTTTTCTCATACTGATCCCCTATCAGGAGCTCAGTCTGAGTACAGTTCTCCTTCTTCTCCTCCACTGCCCTTTTGTCTTGTACATTTCATTGTTTTTCTTTACGCTAGCTGTTCTGACCTGTCCCAATGTGATGTTTGTTTAATGTATGTATGGTTGAAAGGGGTTCAATTTCGCTGCAGGAAACCGCAAGTGACAAATAAAGGCTTCATCCATAATCAAAAAAATCAAAATCTCCCGTGACTGGGGGTGACTAGAGGGAGGACAAAATATACACTGTGTGGTGAATCTAAGAGGAGGTCAAGAAATGTATATCTTCACTTCATAACAAAAAAGAAAAACAACCTCCAGCTCTTGTTTACATGTCCTTGCGTTTTGGGGTCTAATATTTCATGACATTTGAGGGGTTTCCAAATATTTAGTTATCTGGTGTACCTAAAACTGTCTTTGAACTCTAGATGTACAACACATTGCCCTGGCTGATGAAGTGGATTCCTGGATCTCACAAGGAAATATTATTTCTGATACAACAGTTAATTGAGTTTGTAAAGGTGAAGATCAATGAACACAAAGAAAATATTGACCCTTCATCACCAAGAGATTACATTGATGCTTTTCTCATAGAAATGGGACAGGTGAGTGAAGTGCTCCTTGTCTGTTGTCTGCATTTCTAATAAAATGTGTTATTTGTTACCATGTAACACATGTTTGCTCCTCTCTCACACTTATAGAAGGAGAACAAAGAATCTGGTTTTGATTTACAAAATCTGTGTTTTTGCACTCTGGATCTTTTTGGTGCTGGAACTGAAACTACAAC